CTTATTCCTTTTCATGAATGAAGGGCCATGTTTAGGGCCAGCTGCTATGCAAGGAGTAATAATATTTTTACATTAAGCCTTTATAGTATCCTAAACTCTTCATGCCCATGCTCTTACTTATTCATTTAATTCTGTGAGCTCCTTGAAGATAGGATGCATGTTTACACTCTTTCATGTCACCATAGCAGGGCACAGTGTCTGGTAAGCATTCAGTGAATATTTGCTGACTCAGTGGAGTAACTATAATAGTGAGGATACTAAAATCTAGAGAAAGTAAAGAATGCATCCAAGACCTTATATTATAATAATATAACAGAACCAAGAATAGTCCAGATCTCCTGATTACAAATCTTAGTCTTTTCTTACCAGAACATGCTGCCCCAAGATTTGCCACCCTACAGATTTTGCTGGCTAAGATGAGATACTAAGATTCACTTTCAATTCTATAGAAATGAGTAATATGGTGAACTGTAATCAGTCTTTTGAAGGATGTGAGGCAATATTAATGAGCAAGGTAAAAACAGGCAATCTCCACTTGCCCATTTAATTATGGGTTTATGTGATTTAAGAGTTGGGGTGATTGATTAATAAGATGAGCTACTTCCACAGCCTTTGAGAAACATTTTCCTTTAAGAGATTATGGCTATAGTATGACTGGGCTCCTGACTTATCCTGTGTGGGCCAGTCTGAAGCTTGGATCTCTGGGACACCACTTCCCAGCTTTCCTGGTGTAATAAACTCATATTGTTTGGATTTCATGAAGCTCAACTCCATTGCTAAATATGGGACACAGTCATTTTAGTTTGAAGTATTTCAGAACATTCTCAATAGCTATAAAATATTCCCAACTTGGTTAACAAAGAAAAAAAGTGTTAGACTCTAGGTTAGGGTTTCTTAAAGTGCAGTGGTTGGACCAACACTATTACATGGGAACTTCTTAAAAATACAGATTCTGTGGCCGCACCCAGACATACTGAATCAGAGAGTGGGAAGGGGAGCCCAGCAATCTGTGTTTCAGTAAGCCCTCTGGGTGATGCTGACATCAGACCACTCAAGTTTGACAGCCACCATCTTGCAATATAGACTACAATTTTCTGGCTCCTCGGCCAGAAAAACAAAATTAAATGAGAAAAATAAAAACATCTTCCCTAGGAAAGCAACACAACCTGAGTGGAGAATGAGTGAAAGGGAGAAAGGGAAGTAATTTTGTTCTCAGAATTACCAAGTGCCCCCAAGAGGTTGAATTCTAGGGCTTACATTTCTAGGAAAATATTCCTTTGGGGTCCTAACAAAATGTCTTCTTAAAGCATCTTTTGGAGATTCACCATCCTGGATATGGTATAGTACTGATAACATCTTGCACGCCAGATCTGTATTACTAATGTCAGGTGAATATTTTTTGTTTTACAAAACTTGTCCCTGTTAAAATTTAAAACAACCATTTTTAAACATCTACCATTTGATTCTGAGTCACTTGGCAAGAATGATGCTTTTGGAAATAGCTATAAGTTGATGGTGCTTAGTTACTGGATTAACTTCTGATGGGAAAATTACAAATGTAAATAAATTAGAACACACCACTTTACTATTCAGGAGAAATTCTTTACATTCAAACAGTAACTTTATAATGTCAAAATAACCAGTAGGTATTAATCAGTATCTGAGCTATGTAAATATTTGCTTGTTTCCATAGTGATTGGCAAGCCCAGATACAAGGGAAAAAATCCACACATGTTATCACTTCCTAATAATATGATCATAAAAACACGACTCAGACCAGACTGAGAGGAGAATAAACACCATTAATTAAAAGATTTATAAAATAGAGGAGGAGGTGACAAATGAAGTATTGAGTGCAAAAATGCACAAAGGAGGTAAAATATACCTTTTTTTTAATTCTGAGAGAAACTTGAGCAACCCTTAATTATCTTCCAAAATGCTATTTAGAGTTTTCCAAAAATAAAACATCTGACAACTGCTCAAAGCACACCGCACCCCCACCCACAAAACATACACTTTTAAAGTGGATATACAGCCATGGCTGTGAAGTGTGTTTGAAAAAAAGTGAGACTGTTGGCATTTCACTTGCAATCAACTGAGAAGTTCTTTACTAAAGAAGTGAGAAGCTTAAAGCTGTTTCCCCAAGCTTTAGGGGAGTATGGCATATTACGGAGGAGGAGCATTTGGTCAAAGAGTAAATTAGTAGTGTGGTTCACACATTGAACAAGAAATCTACACAGGAACCACAGTTGTCTTAAATAATCAGTCCCGTTAACGGGACTTTGGTTATGAAATTTCTTCACAAAGCAGCCACCAGTGCAAAGGCTGTTTTTAGAAACACTTTGTTCTTCTGATATCTGCTAGGATAATGCTGCACCTTTTTTCCCCCCTGAATGATTTCTAAAAATAAAAACAAACACAAAAAGCACACACACACCCTGAAGTAGCTGGAGAAGAAATGAGCATGCCACAGAAGGTTATTTCAATATGTGCTTAGGTAAATAGACACTAAGGGGGAAATGCAGACACAAGATCCTGAATAGAGACAAATCCACACTGAAGACTATTCTGAATGATGCTTTTCTGAGCACAGGGTGAGGCCAAATTTAAAGCATATAGTAGGACAGAAATTGAAGGAATTACACAATGATTGGAGACTATCTCATGCTAGATATATACAAATTAATGAAATATTTAAATGTCATTAAAATAAACTACATACAATTTATAAAAGGAAACTTCCATTATGGGGGTAGTGAAGAATCCCTGGAAAACCACAGTACCCAGATCACTGACAGATTTGACTCTCTAACTCAATAAAAATTTTTTATATGGAGAACTTGATAAGCAAAGTTAAGATTGCAGCAGATTGGAAAAATGTATATGCAAATACTACAATAGACAAATATTTTCTGTAATATATAAAGAATTCCTGTAAACCAACAAGGAAAATGAAGCAATAGGGAAAAAGACAAAAGAATGCACAGAAAAAAAGACAAATCTAATCAATATGAAAATATCATTTCGCTAGCATTTAGTGACTTTATAATTAGAAGAATATACTGTTTCTACCCATCTGATTGATAAAAGCTTTAAACATTAAAAAATTCATTGTTGCCAGACATGAGCACTCATTTATTGTTAATGCAAGTGGATAGCATTTTTCAGGGGATTTTTGCATCACCTCTCATAGTTTAAAATGTGTTTGGCTTTTGACCCAGCAATTCAACTTCTAAAAATCTATACTATAGAAATATGACATACTCGCTCAAAGATTCATGTACAAAGATGTAAACTGTGGTATTTTTGTGATGATGGAAAATTTGAGACAATCTGAATTCCCATCAAGAGTGGAATGGCTAAAGAAATTATGCTTTATGTAGAATATTAGACTATCTGGAACCATTTTTAAGATATATTAACTAAATAAAGAAAAGCAAACTATTAACAGGAATTATTCCATAAGAGGAGAGAGCAAGATTAAGGATGATTAAGGATTGGAGGGAGCAAATAAGTGGGGAGTTTTGATTTTTACTTTACTTAATTTGTTATCAATTTTTAAAAAATTTAAGCTGCAATACAATATGCATAACAAAAATGTCCCTTTTTAACCATTTTCAGGTGTACACTCACTGGCGTTAAATAGATTCACATTGTGCAGCCATCACTGCCACCCATCTCCGTAACTTTTTTCATCTTCCCAAATTGAAACTCTGTACCCATTAAATGTGAACTCCCCATTTTCCTCTCACCTAGCCCTTACTTTCTATGTCTGTGAATTTGACTGGTCTTGGTACCTTGACAAAGGTCGGGAAACACTATCCCCAAAATATTGCATGTTGGCATATTGAATATTATCAGTTGAAGGCACCTGAGAAGAAGCAGGTCACAGACCCTCATGAGAGGAGCCTCCTCACCTCTGAAGACAGAGGAATCTGAATGAGCAGGCCCTGCTGTCCCCCCAGGTCACTGCATGTAGCTCATACCTGGCACATCGTCCTATCATGGTTTTCCATTGCACACAAGTTTGCATCAAACCTAGCATAAAAACACTCAAGTTTAATGGCTTCTTTGGGTCCCCATTTCCTTGTGAAGACTCCCATGTCACACAAAACTTAAATTAAATGATTTTGTATGCTTTTCTCCTGTTAAAATCTGGCTTTTGTTATGGGGCTCCTGGCTGAGAACTTAGAAGGGTAGAAGAAAATGATATTTTTCCCCCCCTACAACCTTGTAAGAGGAATCATAACATATATGACCTTTTGTAACTGGCTTATTTTACTCAGCATAGTGTCTTCAAGTTTTATCCATGTTTAGCATGTGTCAAAATTCCCTTTTTTTTAAAGGCTAAATAATACTCCACTGTATGTATTCTGCAATCATTTTAAACAATAAACATGATTGCTTCTATAATATATAACAAAGTAAAAATAAACTTAAAAAGTGTGCCTCCAAGAGTACATTTATGCAAATCCTTGTGTCAAAATACTTTTTGACAACACCAATAACAAATTTCAAGGAAATTACATTTTGATTGAATATGTATTTCTGCAGTCTGAAAACCTTTACTTGCTTGTTTTGACTTTCCTGAGGTCGGAAAGAACTGTAGAGCTTGGTGGAGCTTGAGGATCAAGGAATAAAAGAAAGAAGAGAGAGAAAGAGGAATGGAGGGAGGGAGGAGAGAAGGAATATCTTCTATTGAATGTTTAGTATATGCCAGTCACTGTTCTAAGAACCTTGCATTTTAAAATTCATTCAATTCTCAGTTATCCTATGTGGTAGATGTTCTTATCGCCCTCACTTAACCAGGGTTCTCTGCCTTTCCCCAGGTGATACAGCTGTTAACACTTGAACATCTGCCCCCCAGCTACAGAATCTAGGTCCCAATGCTACTGATTCCGCTGCTTAGGAAGATACCACATCAGTTTACTATAGGAGAAGGCTTAGGAGGTGGAGTTTCCAGAAGGTTTTTATTAATTTTATGCTCCCTGTCAATTCAGTTGTAGACACTCATCAATGAAATGACCAGCTGGGGGGAAGATACCCACAGAGAGAACTCTGACCAGCCTGGAGGGGAAAACCATGTAGAAGTGAATATGGTCAAAGTCAAAATCGTTATGATCATAAGGCTGCAATATCTGTTTCTTCTCCACTTTTAAAGCATTTGTGGACCAACAAGCAAAGGTACATTGAAGTCAAAAACTGCCTTTTCTTCCCAGAGATACACATTCCAGCAACATCTAGAAAAGGAGATCGAATTAACCAGTAATTTACTCATTTGCTTCAAATTAATTTTCATGTCTTGTTATTGTACATGTGAACTGCACATAAATAGGAGTAATAAATATGTGTATCCAAACAATGAGGTTGCTTATGATCAGATACTTTCTCCACAAAAAGTTAAACACCACAGAGTATTTGGGAAACCCATTGGAGATGAAAAAAAAAGGGGGGAGAAATAGTTGGATAAATGGACTGAGAAATACTGACAAAACAAAAACATCTCTTGTAACTCATTCTACACCATAGGTTTCCCATGAATGCCCTCTTGGAGCTTATAGCAAAGCAGGAAAGACAGACGTTACACAGCCTGATACATAAATCCAGATGATTGAAACGTGTGACAGATTCTAGAAAAGAAAATGCAGTGTGTAATGAGAGGAAATGGGACTGGATTTAGCCTGGAGGTTCTCGGGACACCCCCAGAAAGTGACATTTGGACCCCGACTTGAAGGATGAGTAGATACAGATAGTTGAAGAGTGGGGAGAAGAAAAGACGGGAGAAGAAGAGAAGAGTAAAAGGGGACAGATTGGGCAAAGGCTCTGGGGTCAGAAAGAGGCTGGAGGTTTGGAGGCTGGGGGAGGGCTTTGCCCAGTAGAGAGCGGCCAGGGTCACGGCTCATTGACCAGCCAAAGGCCAGGCAAGGAATCAGGCGGCTTGAGTGACATGTTGAGTTCTAATTTGCAATTTAGAAGAATCACTGTGGCTGCTGCCTGGAGCAGGCTTTAGCAAGGGCCAAGAAGAGAAGCAGGAGGGGGCCTTGGCATGGGGCCTGGAAGAGGGTCAGGAGCTTGGACCAACATGCGAGCAGTGAAGGTGAAGGTCAAGGCAGATCTGAGAGATATTTTTAAGGTAATAAGAACTCATGCTCTGCCTCCCATGTTCTAATAATAAATCTCAAGTCTTTTATCCAGATGTTTAAGTGGAACACTGTTACTTACCACCTCAGGAATTTGGAGTCCGATCAGTCCACACCCGTTCAGGCATCCAGGCCTTGGGCAGTGCTGGTCCTACCCCTCACAATGCCCCTTCATGTGGGGCATTTTCCCACCAAGGCCCAGTGGACTTTCTCTGAATCAGCCACCCTTTCTGTGAAACCCGCTGCATGGACACCCGTCTATGGCACTGCGTATGTCAGCCTGTCCCCCTAGCCCCCTGCACAACACCTGGCACATAATTCTGCTCAGTAAATGTTTGCATGAAGCAAGAACACAAGGCTATAGGAGAGGTGGAAAGGGAAAAGAAGGAAAGAAGGGAGGAAGGTGGAAGAAAATTGGCTTTTCCTGGTTACTCCAGTGTTGGTCGGCACCAGAGATGTTAGTGAGAAGAGGTGGGAGACCCCCTCTCAGTCTGCAAAGAGGTGGGGCGTCCCCTCTTAGTCTGGCTTGCTGCAGCGACCACAGTGTCATCTGGATGGGGGCAGAACAGGGGCTAGCTCCCCCGGAGGCTGCTCTCCCCTGTTGGAAATTCAGCTGCTTCTCAGACACAAAAGTAGGGCATATGTGTCCTCACAGAACCGCCTCTCACTTGCACCATACAGCGTCACTCCTTCTGTGGTCCCCTGAGAAGTCAGTGGCTCCCACTAAGCCTTGGGCTAATCTGGCATCCTTGCTGCTTGTCAAGTACAGTCTGCCCTCAGCTTGAGAGGGCTTGGCAAGGCATGCATTTGTCCCCAGGTCCTCTGATGAGAGGAACTGAGGGGGGTGGAGTTCCCAGTGCTCGTTGTCATTTGCTAAGCAAGCCCCACCCTCGGTGAGCTGGACCCGCAGCAGCAGCTGGAGTCATTGCCCCTCTGGAGGCTGCTTCTCAGAGTTAACAGGTTGAATCTGCAATCTGACTCATTGCATAAACATAAATGGACCCTCCAAAGACAACCACAGCCAGGCTCAGACTATTGCCACCAAGAAGCCAGGCCATTTCCACTATGTTTAGATCACAAGCATCCATTAATTGGTATCACGGACATCAAATATTTGGACCACTGACTAGATTTTTCTCCTTTTTGATTACTATCCTATAGTCAAGATTATTCAATATTTTTCTTCTCAAAGACAGAGGAAGCAAAGACAGATGGCTGGCCCCAGAAGGGTCTGGAGTGAAGGGAATCTCGCCATCCCACTTGGTGAAAATTGTCAAACTTCATATAATACATTTTACGTTATAAATATACTGTTTATTTGTGCTTTTCAGGAACTCTCTAAGCATGTATACTCTCTGCTTTGTCATCCTTCGTAATTAAAAGGCAGATATCCAGAGAACGAAGTCTCACACTAAAATATATTGCAGGTAAACTCATGCATTTGAGCTAATGCTAACTCCTTAGGTCCGGCTTTAAGTTTACCATTCTTCCTTCTCTCTTGGAAGCAAATAGTGTGAGCGGCTCTGGCACATGCCCAGTACTAGAACACAGCTGAGAGTTTTCAAAGAAAAATCATTTTAACAAATACTTCCTAGAATCAAAGAAAATTCTTTTCCCCCACCCCCCTTAAAGAATTAGAACAAAATTGGGAGGGGGTGATTAGGCAGAGAAAAATCCGACATCTAAAAAGATTCTGTAAGAGAACCACACAGTTTGGGTGTTTTGTAAAAAGCTGGAAAAGAAAAACAGATGCAATTCTCTCTCTTTCTCTCTAGGAACTTGCCCTCTAAAACAAAAAAATATTGATACAGCCTCTCAACAAAAAGGCACATAGACAACTGCACAAACATTAAAGAAATAATTAAACGAGTGACCCAAATATTGATAGAAACATTTCCTCAGATGGGTACAATTTGTTTTTGCTGCAAATTTATTTTTCTCACTTCTCTTTTGCATCAAAGACTGCATGGGACTGAGAAAGTGCAGAGGAGATCATCTGGATGGGGGCAGAACAGGGGCTAGCTCCCCCGGAGGCTGCTCTCCCCTGTTGGAAATTCAGCTGCTTCTCAGACACAAAAGTAGGGCATATGTGTCCTCACAGAACCGCCTCTCACTTGCACCATACAGCGTCACTCCTTCTGTGGTCCCCTGAGAAGTCAGTGGCTCCCACTGAAGCCTTGGGCTAATCTGGCATCCTTGCTGCTTGTCAAGTACAGTCTGCCCTCAGCTTGAGAGGGCTTGGCAAGGCATGCATTTGTCCCCAGGTCCTCTGATGAGAGGAACTGAGGGGGGTGGAGTTCCCAGTGCTCGTTGTCATTTGCTAAGCAAGCCCCACCCTCGGTGAGCTGGACCCGCAGCAGCAGCTGGAGTCATTGCCCCTCTGGAGGCTGCTTCTCAGAGTTAACAGGTTGAATCTGCAATCTGACTCATTGCATAAACATAAATGGACCCTCCAAAGACAACCACAGCCAGGCTCAGACTATTGCCACCAAGAAGCCAGGCCATTTCCACTATGTTTAGATCACAAGCATCCATTAATTGGTATCACGGACATCAAATATTTGGACCACTGACTAGATTTTTCTCCTTTTTGATTACTATCCTATAGTCAAGATTATTCAATATTTTTCTTCTCAAAGACAGAGGAAGCAAAGACAGATGGCTGGCCCCAGAAGGGTCTGGAGTGAAGGGAATCTCGCCATCCCACTTGGTGAAAATTGTCAAACTTCATATAATACATTTTACGTTATAAATATACTGTTTATTTGTGCTTTTCAGGAACTCTCTAAGCATGTATACTCTCTGCTCTGTCATCCTTCGTAATTAAAAGGCAGATATCCAGAGAACGAAGTCTCACACTAAAATATATTGCAGGTAAACTCATGCATTTGAGCTAATGCTAACTCCTTAGGTCCGGCTTTAAGTTTACCATTCTTCCTTCTCTCTTGGAAGCAAATAGTGTGAGCGGCTCTGGCACATGCCCAGTACTAGAACACAGCTGAGAGTTTTCAAAGAAAAATCATTTTAACAAATACTTCCTAGAATCAAAGAAAATTCTTTTCCCCCACCCCCCTTAAAGAATTAGAACAAAATTGGGAGGGGGTGATTAGGCAGAGAAAAATCCGACATCTAAAAAGATTCTGTAAGAGAACCACACAGTTTGGGTGTTTTGTAAAAAGCTGGAAAAGAAAAACAGATGCAATTCTCTCTCTTTCTCTCTAGGAACTTGCCCTCTAAAACAAAAAAATATTGATACAGCCTCTCAACAAAAAGGCACATAGACAACTGCACAAACATTAAAGAAATAATTAAACAAGTGACCCAAATATTGATAGAAACATTTCCTCAGATGGGTACAATTTGTTTTTGCTGCAAATTTATTTTTCTCACTTCTCTTTTGCATCAAAGACTGCATGGGACTGAGAAAGTGCAGAGGAGAACAGATCAAAGGATGGTTGGAGACAACTGTGGCTGGAGAGGCTGCGTCAAGGGCCAACGCAGGTCCTCCCTGGAGAGAGGGTGCAGAGGTCACTAATGGGCACAGTGCCACTGCCAGGGAAGAGCTGAGTTCTATTCCTGGATCCCCCACTAATTTTCTAAAACCTGGACCTGGGAAACGGGAGTGATAATCACCCACTCTGGTTATTTCACACAGACATTAGAGGATAAAAGGAAGCAATGGTTGAGAACATCCTTTAAACAACCATGTAAAGATACCCTGTGGGAGGCTTTCTGGTGAGACTTCTGGAAGGTTCTTTCTCTAGGCCCTAACTATTTTATCCAAAATCCTAGAATCCAGGATTCTAGCATTGTTTTAAGCTGTTCACAGTAAGCCTAAACACATGCAGAACAGAAAGAGCCTCATTGTGTTTTTTTAAAAAAAGGCACAGGGCTGTAAATATTGCTGAGAACCTGCTCAGCTAAGAAGCTATTTATTCAAAGTAAATGACTCACTGAAGAGATAGGAGGAGGAAGCCTGGGAGAGAGAGGAGATGAGTGGGCGGTGAATGTGACCCTGCCGGGCTCTCTCCCCACCTCTCCCCCTGATGGATATTCTAACAGGAAGGTGAAGCCAAGAATGTAAACAGGAGGGAAGGTGCAGGGCAGGGAGGAGTTTGAGAATCTCCTAAAGGAAAAATATGGCCCCAGGGCTCATG